CAAGTCGTTCGCAGTACGCGAAGTAGTTAAGTTGTTTGTATTACCAGTCTGTGTGCCTATGCCCAACATCGGCTGTCCGACGAACACATTGAATGAGAGAAGAGTATAGCAGGGTGGATACCGCGCAAATCTATGTTGTTATAAATAAACTCGTGTGCTGGTTCGTACCATACTCCATCTGAGAGCATACAATGAAAGAGCTACAATTTCCAGCCGCAAGTCATTGTTGAGACATTGGCGGGAGGTGAGGTTCGGTGATTAGTCAACATCAGTCGCTGTTTCTTTCTCTGCCCGATGTATTCCGACCGACCGCTGCTTAACTGTTTCAAAAGGTGAAAAAGAGTGTTGCCTTGCAGCTTTTACAGAACTTCGATTATATTACCACCTTTTTCTGGTAACATCAGTTTCACGGATGTCCTGAACAGCGGTACGCAAGCAAATCTCCTTAGTACACAATTGCAACTCACCGTGGAGTTTCCAGGATGTCGCCATATGTAGTCTCTTTGTAAACTCATGAAATTCCTCTCCTTAACGTTTCCTTAGACTCCCGAAAAGCAAACCGTTTCATGTTCTTTTTGGGGTAATACAAAGCTCTGTCTGAAGTACTGGTGCACACATGAAAACTGTTCAGAATAATTTGTGGATCGATCACATTTGGACTGTGCATTAAAAGCATTCACTGGCTCATCAGATTGGGAAAATTATTGACTGTTTTGGTTCAAAATGCTCTCAAAACTATCCTGACGTCCTCCAAATATAAAGATAATTAGCGCGGAGTGACATAGCCAATAATCTAAACATTCATCAAACTATATGAAGATAGAGAAGGGCAAAGAAAAAAAGGGAGTCAATTTACGACAGTTATGAGTTCCAGCGTGTTGCAGACGATGGACACAACTGTTTTGGCCAGCAGTTTTCTGTTTTCAACGCAGGACTTGTGTAGATGTGACGATTGCCACGATGGTGGCTCCAAAATTATGCCGCGAACGGAGGAGGATGGCGTCTGGGTCATCGAAGTTCCCGGGGACTTGGTACATTTGATAGGCGCTGGAGTAAATTCGGGAAGTAAACGCTGGTTACTAAAAGTAGCCTTCAGAAAGGGCAGATTAGGTAATCGAGGAGACGGCATTTGCGTATCAATGTTGACAATGGGCACCTTCGTCATAAACATAAGCAAATGACTAATGGTTTAAAGACTGCTAATGGGCGAAGTTTAACATTGGATATGTGAGGCTATACACTCCTCAGAGTTTTTCGCTGTAATCAGGCTCTGTAACTATAGTAACACTTCAGAAGTTTTGGAGGCCAAACAGCTCTAGTTTTGTTCACCGTTTTAATAAGTATACCTTATTACCCTTTATTATTGCTATATATTTTGGTAAAAACACCTTGAATGAATTTACCCAGTCCAACGACCTGTCCCTTCATATATACTGACTTTAAATGTAATTAATTGTTTTACTAGTACTGCAATGTAAATATCCGGGTTTGCTGAATGTAGTCCTAGAAAAGCAATTCACAATGAAGGTTGAGTTTTTAGTTTTAGCGAAATTGGGCCAAATAAAAAAGTCGGAAATTAAGTTAATACTCGTAAGATTAACGTTGAATAGAATGCTAGAGAAGCAAGCAAAGTTGTTGAAGCCAAATTAACGCGGATACTTTGAGAAAGTAAAATTTAAAAAGCTAAATATTTAAGAACGCATGGAAAGAGTGGCATTCGAACTGTTAAGTGAAGATATAAAGCCGAGGTAAAGGAAGGAAACACAGGGACATACGTGATGGCGTCATGTCTTTGTTGGCTGACATATTTGCATCAGTGGTGCAACGTGGTATTGCACGTGGCTGGGGACCCTCTATCAGTTCTGGTCGTGGCTCCTTAACATAATAAGTAGTTTACAGTCATGGAATCAGAGTAAAGACTGTAGATAGGTTCTCGAGTCAGCTTATAAGTACTATGTCTAAACATTTCGGATAATGTGTGGTAGTAAAGTTGCCAAGGACCTCATTTTTGTGTTCTCCATTTTCAGTGCTTAGGTTATAAAGCACAATAGGTAATAAACTAAGATCGAAATGGGCACTCCTTGTGCCTTATTATCATGCGACCCTGTTCTACCTGAGAAAGGAGATCCTGAGCATTAAACGCAGTGTGATTGTTGCTACTAAGACCGAATCCCAGTGTCCAAGTTACTGGGGCACAATCCGTATTTCTGGTTGTAGCGAAGGAGTATCACTCAGTCAGAACTTATCATTTAAATCTGTCCCTCTTGAGCCTGAGCACGAGCGCGAGGGCCCAAACTGGGCTATAGTCTTGATAATAACATCGGCGAATTAAACAGTCTCACCTTGTATTCAAAATAGTGCAAGGCCATTATTAGCAAACTATTGAGTCTTTCAATCATTTCCATCCCAGTCCGCAACATCCACTCAGCCAAAATGGTATCCCGACACTGGTGAAGGACCCATAACACTAGAAGGAGAAGACGTTGGATGCTGTCCAGACTCCAATCTTGATGCGTATTCGGCTCACGTTTGAAGTAGAAGGAAAAGTGCGGTAGGATGGACTGGAAGTGCATGCTGGCATTGGTACCGACTGGACTGGATGCACACTCGTCCCTGAGCTCAGAGCTGGACAGCCGTCGTCTTGTCCTGGAGGATTCTCTCCCCAGGGCGGCGGCCTGCGGCGCGTTAGTCTGTTTTCGGAGGGTCTAACGAGAAACAAATAGGACAAAAGATGCATTCTAGTGGAATGGAAATAAGGTTAAAATGACTGGTAGCCAGATATGCATAGGACTTACGAATTGCTAGTCTGCTTTTCTGAAGAGCTACTTTTGTCAACATATTGGCTGTTTGTTGGACTCCCAAAATCAGTTCTATTTATTGTAGTCCTCCTTGAGCTCTCCTTGATTAAAAGTGTAGAAATGCACAAAAATCATTTCCCCACTATTATAAGTTTTGGTGCTTACTATAGTCAGATGGGTTGCAGCGGCCCCTTTGGGTCCTATCTGCGGGAAACTTGTTGCCTAGTTTCGTTAGAATTAAACTAAGTAAAGAGTGAGGTTTTTTTCCTGACGGCAAGTTTCGTTGCTGCAGAGGTATTTCAGCCCGTTGGGTATGTCACAGTGGTGGCCTCAGCAGTTGTAGTGCATTCTGAAAACACCACAAAATGGGATCAAAGTCACGTGAGCGCAATTACGCGAATTACTGTGCCATGGTAGAGGACTTCCACAGATCAGACGGTAGGCGTCAGCACACTCAAAAACTCTTGCCACCAAGTCATAAAGTCAGTTATAGGTTCCCTGCACTGAGTGACTCTGACAGTCATTGGAATAATGATTTCATTATTGACAGTTCAGCCAAGGTCTAGTGCATGTGGGAGCACCTCGACTGGTTATTTAACGTGTGAGGATTTACACATCCCACCAGTCTATGTATTTTCATGTGACCTTTAGTCCCGATAAAAAATCTTCTATGTAAACTTGCAGGATCTTT